CCCCCCCAAATCTCCACTTTACCCTCATCAATCCCCTCCCACCGTCCCCGCTCCAAGACCCTGAGACCCGGAGGTGCCTCCCCCCGACTCCCACAGACCCCCCTGATTTTGAGGACCCCTCCCCGGATTTTGGGGACCCCTCCCCGTGTTTTTGGGGTGCCCCCTCACCGCGGATCTCGAGCCTGCACTCGGTCAGGGCCTCCCCCAGCTCGTTGCTGGCCCTGCAGCTGTAGGTGCCGCCGTCGAAGGGCCCCGGCTTGCGGATGAGCAGGGTCAGCACCCCCTGGCTGTGCCGGGCCAGGAACCGCGGGTCGTCCCCGATGGCCATCTGGTTCTTCAGCCACACCACCTTGGGCTGGCCAGGGGGAAAAACTGGTCAGGAGGGGCCAGAAATGTACCCCAAAAACACCCCAGAAACACCCACGCCTTGGGGTGAATCCACAGCCCCATTGGGATGCAAAGAATGGATTGGGAGACCCCCAAAATCCACCTCAAAACACCCCCCAAGGTGACCCCAAAACCTGGTTCTTCAGCCACAACACCTTGGGCTGGGGAGGGGGCACAGAGGGTCAGGAGGGACCAGAGATGTACCCCAAAACCACCCCAAAACCACCCCAAAAACACCCCAAAAACACCCAAAACCTGGTTCTTCAGCCACACCACCTTGGGCTGGCCAGGGGGCACCGAGGGTCAGGAGGGACCAGAAATGCACCCCAAAAACACCCCAAAAACACCCACACCTCGGGGTGAATCCACTTCTACTTACAGGGGGAGTGACCCCCAAAAATCCACCCCAAAACCCTCCCCAAGGTGAACCCCACACCTGGTTCTTCAGCCACACCACCTTGGGCTGGCCACGGGGCACAGAGGGTCAGGAGGGACCAGAGATGTACCCCAAAAACACCCCAAAAACACCCACGCCTGGGTCTGCACCCACAGCCCCATTGGGATGGGGAGAATGGGTTACGGGACCCCCAAAATCCACCCTGAAAACACCCACACCTGGGTCTGAATCCATCCCCTACTTATGG